CATATCACTTATAGCATTAACCAGCCAACTTAACAAGACAGAAAGTTACAAAATAGCTCAAAAGAAAATAAACCATCTATTTTACATGGATGAAAAAATTGTATGCTAGGAATGACAATGAGCTGGAAGGTCTTCTGCAAACTGTAAAATGCTTCAGTGAAGACATTGGAATGAAATTCAATTTGGATAAATGTGCTAAAGCTACAGTTTTACGAGGATACAACAAACTTCCTCTATTAGTTTAGACCCTGCTGTAACAATAAAAAAGATTTAGAACAAGGAGAAGCTTATAAGTACCTAGGTGTAAATGAGAGTGAAGGAATTCACCATAAGAAAATGAAAGAAATAGTGCGTAAAGAGTACTATAGAAGGGTACGACTGGTATTAAAAACTGAATTGAATTCTCAGAACAGAATTATGGCCATTAATAACCTTGCCATCCCAGTGGTCCAATATAGTTTCAACATCTTGAACTGGACTCTAAATGACATCAGACAAATGGATTCTAAAACAAGAAAGCTTCTTTCTAAATAAGATGCATCATCCAAAGGCTGATGTAGACCGTCTATACGTAAAGAAGGTGGAAGAGGTCTTATTCAGCTAGAATTGTCATACAAGACAACAACTATTGGCTTACTAACTTACATGGAAACAACAAAAATGACTGGATGATAAAATTAGTGAAACAACATGAAAACAGAAAGAAAAAAATATTCAATAATAAAAGAAGGCAGTAAATACAAACAACATTTACATTTAGTAGATTCTGTTAAATCAAAACAGAAGCCAAGAACCAACTATTGCAGCAAAAGATATGAAAAAGAAAGCCAAGGATAAAGCCCTTGAACAGATGAAACAACGCTGGCAAGACAAACCTCTGCATGGCCAATATCCAGAACGTGCAAATAAACCCAATGTTGATAAAGTTAATACTCATCGATGGTTTGAGCATCTGGATTAAAGTCTGAAACTGAAGGCTTTATTCTTGCAGCGCAAGACCAAGTCTTTTCACTAGGAATTTTCAGGCAAATATCATACATAATAATGTGGATCCAAAAATGACAAATACCAAGAAACAATAGACCATCTAATCTCAGGATTGCCCCAAATGAATATAAAAATCGTCACGATAGAGTGGGGCAATACTTACACTGGACAATGTGCAAACACTTTGGAAAATGTAAGCAAACACTGGTATGAACATCGGCCAGCGCCAGTTACAGAAATAGAAGATGTCACCATTCTATGGGATTATACCATCCACACAGACAGAAAAAATTGAAGCAAATAGGCCGGACATTATTGTCAAAAACCAGAAAGAAAAACTTGCCTACTAATTGATAATCCAGCGGATTATAGCAACCAAGGAATTTGAAAAACTATCAAAATACAAAGACCTGGAAATTGAAATAGAAAAATGTGGAAATTGAAAACTTGGAATTATAAAAATGGAACAAAACAACACATTGAAAGAATCCCTTGAAACCCCAGCTTAAGAGACATACAGAAAAATAAGGAGAACTTTGTCTATGTAACGCTAGCAACTTCATCGGAGATAAAAAAAAAAAAAAAAAAAAATTAACATGAAAATAACAACAACCACGACCTGCCTTAGGTCTTTCCGCAGACTTGGTAGGTAGTGTGACGAATGATGATGATAGTAATAATAATAATAATAATAATAATAATATTTAATCAAATGACAGTAAATGATTTTATCTATCTACCGTATTTTCTTTCAAGAGTGATTTTGAACGAAGATTAAAGGTAAAAACTCACCCCTGTTTTGCGTATCCCAGGTAGCTGAAACAACAACAACAACAACGTTAATACTACTACTAATAATACTAATAATAATAATAGTAATAATAATAATAATAATAATATGAAATCAAGTGACAGTAAATCAATTGATCTCAATACTGTATTTTCTGTACATTTTGAAGAAAAATTAACAAAGAGGGTGTCCTATTATATACATGTACATATTTTTAAAAAAATCATTCCGTTTAAAAAGGCCTCTTATTTGAAACATCAAGGTTGCAGAAGCAATTACTTAGTGCAATCGATAATATAAGTAGCCAGATGTTGTTAACAATTGATTGCGAAAATGTATTTGATATGTTGGTAATATCTGTTTTTCTCTTTATTCTTAAAGAAAAACAATATATTATTTATTTTCAGTGTTTTTTTTTAATATATAGAATTATATTAAAATCATATCAAATGTAAAAGCACCTTAGATTAATTAACACTTTAAAGTGTATTAATGTTAAATCTAGTAATCACTTTTTCCGAAAAATTTAAAAATAACTTTTGAAACGGATTTAAGAGAAAAAAATGCACTAGCTAAACATCCGGTTCTTTTCTATTTTTTAATATCGTGAAAAATTAAATATTTTAGTGAAATATATATATGCAACAATTGGATTTTAATGCATAATATGGTATGACTTTTCCGAAATAAACAAAACAAAAAAAACTGCAATTGCTGTTCAAAAGGAGGTCGTATTTATACATGAAGAATCTAATTTATTCCTTGTTTTTAGCTCCAGAAACACGGTTTCGTATTATCCACAAAACGTAAGCCTAGACACAAGAATAGGCCTAACCTCTGACGACATATTGATTCTTGAATAGGAGGTCATATTTTGATTGACCCCTGCTATCTTGTGTGTTTAATCTACAGGTATTTATGTAAGTGAACGCGCGACAGTTTCCTCACCGACGAAGAGAAGACTTGAGGCAACAGAGATGTAGTTCTACAGAAGGATGATGAGAATTCTATAGTATGGGAGGAAAGAGAAAATTCGGAAATAAGTTTTGAAACCAAAAGGAATAGACAATGCGTAAACATCCGCTTCATTTCTATTCTTTAAAATAAAAAATGAAGAATTAAATATTTAGTGAAATATATGAAACGTATGTATCATATGATACAACTTTTCAAAAAGAATATTTACATAGAGATGGCTTTACTACGGGGTAGTGTTATACTCAAGGATGTGTAATTTATTCACTTTTATTAGCATCGGAGTTGTATTATACTCAAGACGTATTCTACACAAGAAAATATGGCAGTTGTCCTCAAACGAACACTTTTGGCAACATCTTTCCAAAGATTTCCCTCATCTATAACTTTGTTTAAGTATTCTTTTCTGATTTCATTGTAAAGATTATTACTTGTCCAACCACTTCATCTATACAAGGGCTCCTCGAATTACGTCGGAGACCCGGTCCTACGATGCGAAGTAGCCTGATTTTCGACGTAGGGACCTTCATAAGCACCCATGATCCTGCCTAACGCTTGAGAGACATAATGAAGCGCAAAAAGCCACCCCCCACCAAAAAAAAAACAAAACAATACAATCCATCATGGCGTACGGTCGGTAAAGAAACAACGCCATCTTTCTCATATAGCCCCGCGAAACGACGTACTATATTATAGGAGATGGCACCTTAAACACGAAACGCTTACGTCGGGTCTGACGTAACCCGAGGACTTTCTGTAATTTGGATTCCATATTATAAGATACGGCATATCGTACTGTTCGCGTCTAAAATGTCTACTAGGAACATTTCAAAAACTGTGTCCATAATATTTGGTAGGTTAGAGCACACCCTCATGGTGTAATGGTTAACAAGCTTCTTTCGCTAGTTCAATTACAACTGAATAGTGCTTACTTCATTAAGTACTTTACACATTCGGCCCTTTACAACATCTAAGCTAAGATAAAATTCGTTTAGGGCACTTTGACGTGGTGTAATAGTAAGCTTGTCTCGCTGAATTAATTACGATTGAAAGGTGAGTTCAATACTCAGTGCGTGCTCCATGACTTCTGTCTTGTGGCAGATCTAAACTACTCTTAGAAAATCACCGTAATATTTGAAAAGAAAACTACAGGAAAAAATACTGAGAATACCATGGACCGAACATGTGAAGAACGAAGAAGTTCTAGAGGTAATAAAATCAAATAGGACACATCTACTTAAAATCAGGATGAGACAGTTGACATATCTGGGATACATAATGAGGAAAAAATGTTTGGTGAATTTGAGACTCAAAGGACCGAGTGAAAGTAAGACTGGCAGAGGAAAGCAATGCATAATCTACCTGGCGAGCTTGTGTCTATGGATGGCGGAGCAGGATTTAGGAGAGACGGCAAAAAGGCAAAAGTAATTAAGCGCTACAAAGAACAGGAAATTGTGACGTGCGATGATCGCCAACGTCCTGAAGGGATGAGGTATATAGAAGAACAAGACGAAGTGATTACTCGTAAAGAAGTAATGATTTTAATGAACAGAATTTATTCAAAATTATGTATATTGATTGCTTCAATTTTACGGCTTATCAACCCTTTTCAGGTTATTTTACCTTTAGATTTCAAGAATCGTTTTTTTTTAGATAATAATGGTTTTAAGGATCTATAGCTGACCACTCGTATTCGAGGATACACGTCTACTAGGGTGGAAGCCAATCCTTATTGCAGACGCTTGCTCAGGCACATTTGTGTTTATTCAACACCCACATACTGTTTATATTGCAACTATACTGAGCAGACCTTAGTTGCAGTCTCTGGGAAAGAGCGTGTTATCTAGCGTGATCAACAATTTGAACAAGGCCAGCACACTCAAGCCCTCGACCACAATAACTTGTGACAGCTATCGACGGCCCCTAAGGGTTCCGTCTACCCAATTTCATTGACAATGCTTGGGTCAACTCGTGGTATGGTCTTGAAACACTTTCCAAATATGCTGCACGCGGTGAACGACCCCTCCAGTCCGATAATATCAGGAAGTCTCCTTCCTGATAAATCGACCATGGTGAGATTCGAACCTGGGTCTCATGGTCAGAATGCGAACGTTCTAACCACTCGGCCACAATTGACCCATAGATGTGAGGAGAAGAGGTGAACTCATAGCTTTCCCAAGGTATTTGTGCGTATGTGAATATAACGATCCCAACTGGAATTTGAACTCAGCGCCTGTTTAACAATCCATTACAGCACCTTATATTCCCAAATTGTCACTCATCTTCGTAATGTCCAGGCTCGACATTGCTTAACTTCGGTGATTATACGGGAACCGGTGTTTCAAAATGATGTGACTGTAAACCTAAATTTAGGCTTCATTTATCCAGATACGTATACTATATTATATTGGTTTATTTTATTTATGGTAGATTAAAAGCATAGTGATGTAAAAAAAAAATAATCATAATCATGTAAAATCTGTCTCTGTTCTTTTCTGTTTACTAAGAGAACCTGTCAGTGGAGATACTGGATAAGGATTGGCTGAAAATTCACACTACACTAAACCGAACATTTGAAAGAAACTGAGTCGGATATTTTCTGAGAGCTTTATTTAAATTTTCTCTTTCAAAATCTGCATCAACACCTGTCAACTTATCCCTTGTTGGTCGTAACTCGGTTCATCATGTCTTATTAAGCAGTAAAAGAAACATGTCTTGAACACGACAGACATGTTCCATGATGATAACGAAAAATTTTTGTCCCTTTCCTACCAACATAACATCATTTTACAGTTGAAATGGTTAGATGTAACCGTAAGTTCTATGCTAAGAGTTTCTTCTATCGCACATCTCGTTTGTGGAACTATCTTCTGGATTCTTGATTCCCAGTAAATTTTAATGTTCAAAAATTTAAATGCAATTTCAATCGTTATCTTGTGCCATTTTATTTCTTGTTTTTTTTTCTCCCTCTCCTCAATAGTAGTTTTTTTCTCTCATATTCTCTAACACACGGTGTCCCTTTGCGTCTTAGTGGCGTTATTGCCTTGCTTGGTAGGGATGATTTTAAAATCTATTACGCCCAATGGATGCGCTTTTTGGTGTAATGGATAATGGGAATGAGAAATAGGAGTTCGAATTCGAGTCGGGTTCGTTACATTCACCTACGTGCAAATACTCTTGAAAAAGCTATGGATCCATCACTTACACCCAGATATGCTTTGAATAGCAGGACAGACAGGGTCTACGATGGAAAGAAACGGCAACCTGCAATTCTTTTGTCTAGTCAGTCCTGAATCAAAAGTGACATGATCGCCCTAGGGTGTATTATGTATGGCACTTTACTTACTGATTGAATGCGCACAGTAAATTAGTTTAAATTCTGATGAGGCTGAAATTTTAATTATACCAGATTAAATAAATACACAGTCAATACTCACCAGATTGTCCGCTACCTGCAGTAATACCTGCAATAATAATAAATAATAATAATAATAATAATAATAATAGGTGTCTGGTTGGGAAAGAAAAGTGTATACAAGAGAAAATAAAGATAATAATAATAATAATAATAATAATAATAATAATAATAATAATAATAATAATGGCACTCCATGCCTCAAAGCGATACAAAAAATTGTTCTGACAAGTACAGCCCACACTTTACGAAGGGCTTTATCTATGTAATTTTTTTTTTTTTTTTTTTTGCCAGTGGAAAGTGTCATGACGCCATTTCTAACTTTAGGTCCCTGGGCGGGACCCGGAAAGAAATGTCTAAACGCCAGAAATCAAAGAAAATAAAAATAATATTAATAATTGTAGAAGTATTAATAATAATAATAATAATAATAATAATAATAATAATAACAATAATAATAGCATCACTTTATTTTTCACTTTTTCTCTCTTACTTTAAGCATCCCAAATCTCTGTCGTTGCGTATATGTGTACATGTTTACTAATATCTCTCTCTCTCTCTCTCTCTCTCTCTCTCTCTCTCTCTCTCTCTCATGTGTGTGTGTATATATATATATAAATATATATATATATAATTTGCACGTGTATGTATCCGCATTGACAGGGATGATATTGTATCTATCTTTACCTTTTTCATGGCTACAGGTGTAATTTTCCTACAATGCTCTGCCCTTTGACTATCATGTCTTTGAGTGAAAATTTAAAAATGTATCTTTTAGCGGCTAGTAGGCTGAGAGATGACCGGAAAAGTATAACTTTTACTGTTTTGCTTCTACCCCTTTGTTTAATGAATTCTTTGATATCCAGCCCCACCCTACCAATCTGTAGTATAAGTCCAGCCTACCCCATAAAATTTGATAAGTATCTGTCGTTGGCGACGGAAAACTGAACATTTGTGGAAGATCACTTTTGCCATGCTCCGAAGTAGGAAGAAACGGTAAATGTAGCATTTATTCTTTTAAATGTTACTTTTCGTGTAGTTTGCTAAGACTGTAAATTCTTGACTCCAGCTAATTCTTTCCCTTTCAGCTCCCTCTTATTTATTTATTTATTTTTTTTTAAGTCTATATACTAAAATGCATTTATTCCCCCCCCTGGAGTGGTCACTCGGACTTATACTAAGTTAAAACTTACTATAGTCTACCCCACTGAATACCACACAATCTTTTGAAATATTCTCTCTTTATATCAATAAACCCACAATCTCATTGTATGGGCGTGCTCCTGGATCTTCGACGAGATTCTTCCTACAACTGGTAATCTGAACATAACTACCCCTTGGCGGTCAAGGTTAAAACGCATCTCTACTAATTTCAATGAATGCGAATAATATTTCATACCGGATCGGCCGTCAACCGGGGCAACAAACACCACCAATCAAACATACCAAATATGGAGAAGTACGGTGGGAAATGATGTAAGACCTAACCTTAATCCAAACATGCTTGCCAATGTACGTAGGGACATCATGCGAAACAACGGACTCTCACAGGCAGAAATAGATAAGATAAAATTACATATAAGACAAAATCCTATGACCCATCACTCAAACTCTATTGAGACGAATGTAGAAATAAGGAATGCAACAGACTATGGGGTGGATGCTGGAGAGAATGAAGTACGGAATAATCTCCAAGGAAATGAAACCCAAGACTCTACCTTAAACACAACCTACAGTCCTTCAGAAACTGCACCTGAAGTCATCTTCAGTGACAATAAGTTAGAATTTCTTGAAAACCACGGAGCTGAAATCACCGAAGCGAAAAATGACGTCATCCAAGTGCTCAGCAGAGTAACATTCACACAATTGTCAGACAGAGACCAGCTCCCGAAAATCCATATGACGAACTCTTGAGAATACAGGACGATGTTTCGATCAAATTTAATAAAACAAAGAAAACAACAATAACTTGAATAAGCCACTTTAGACTATAGCAAAAGGCATCAAAAGACGACCTACTCCCGATTTTTATTGAAGGTTTTGCTTATAATCACTCTTTTTGCAAATCCACTTCTACATATGGCGACATGTACATATTATTTGTAAATTATAAAATCCACAGAAAAGTTAAAAGATGGTAAAAGTTTAATGCCTAGTTGTAATGTAAAGGAAATTAAAATTCGTTCGAATAAAAGATATTCAGAAAGAAAGAAATCTGTTCCAAAGAAGAACCAATGTAGCCAGAAGAAATGAATATGAAATTCACTCACCAGTCGCTGATCCTTGGGCTCCTTGTGCTATAAAGAAATAATAATAATAATAATAATAATTATAATAATAATAATAATAATAATATTGTTTTATTGCTCATTGTTAACAATAGGTTTCAGAGTATTCACAGCAACAGAATATAAAACTCGGCATGATTGAGTGGGTCAATATCTGTATTAGAAAATATGTAACACTTACGGGTAGGAAACTGCAAGAAACTAGTATGAACATCACACAAACCCGCTTACAAAGATAGGACATGTAACAATTTTATGTGACTTTACAATACACCCAGGCAGGACAATCAAATCTCATTGCCCAGGCATCGTGAAAAAAGTAATCATACTTTCTCATTGATGTGGCGGTCTCTGCAGATTGTAATGTATATTTGAAGATCTTAAAAAATATCAAAAATCATATATTTTAAAATGTAAATCTAAAGAATATGGTACATGATTACATCAATAATTCCAGTTGTAGTTGGAGACGTCGAATTGATTGGAAAAGGGTCATATTGAATCATTGAATGGGGTTTCTGGTAGTCCATGCCTTAAAGAAATACCAAAGAATTGCTTTCTTATTGACAAGGAACATCCTGCCGAACGTAATGCATTTTTGAAGATCTTCCAAAATTTATCAAAATACAAGGATCTTGATATGGAAATCTCAAATAAGTGCCACATGAATAATTCCAGAGTTTGTATCCCTTGGTTTGATTGCTTTCATAGACCTTAATGATGGAGTCACTGGTATCCGATGCCTTGAAGAAAATGCAAAGCATTTTCGCAGACGACTACCCTTACGAAAGGTTTTATCTATGTAAAATTTGTGTTAATGTAGTTTTCTCTTGTTTTGTTTTCTACAAAAATGTTGAGTAGAAAATGTCATGATGATATTTCTAACAGAAGGAAATGAGTAGACAGCAAAAATCAAAGGAATAATAATATTAACGATATATAATAATTCAGATATCGCCTGATGGATATAAAATATGGAAACGAGAAAGTTAAATAGGTAGCTCTTACATAGGAATATTTTGTTTTTAAACCAATTTTCTATCTACACCTATCAAAGCACTTCAGGAAAGAAAATCCATTCTAATTGGCATATTAATGATCCCTGTAGAAATAAATAAGATTATCGTTCTCACCATTTGCTGACTGCTGGCTGGCATCACTTCCTGCACCTTTAAAATAATAATAATATTAATAATAAAATCATTCAATATGATCCCTACCCATGCGGATATATACACATGTACATGCAGATAAAGACACACACACACACACACACACACACACACACACACACACACACACACACACACACATATATATATATATATATATATATATATATATATATCAAGACAGAGAGAGAGAGTGATATTAGTACACATGTACATATATACATATACACTCACCGACAGAGATACGGGATGCCAAGGAGGAAAGAAAAATAGACTGGGAGTTCCGCTTGATGTCGAGAGGCGGGGTCGGAAAAATTTAAATATAGGTAAAAAAGGAAGCAAGAGAAAGAAAGTAAAGAAAAATTACAATGAAAGAATTAAAGTTAATTTAACTTTAATTCAAAGGGATTTAGGATCATATCAAAGTACAGGAAAAGTATAAAAAGAAAAATGCTACAACATTTACCATTTCTTACATGTTCG